GTCTTATTTTTAATATAATAAATCTCACTTTATGGTGCCACAACCGTCGTACTGGCGAAGTCCAGTTAAGGTACTAAATAGGGATGTCTAAGACTCAATAGGCTGAAACCTCCTTGCTTAGTCATTTCATTTTAATTGCTCTTATTTCTGATTTTTCATATATAGAGGCTGCATTTATTATTTCAGAATGCTTTTAAATTATCTTTACTGCAACCACATTTTTTTAGAATAAATTATTTTAAATAATCAAGCATTGTATTTTGCCTTCAGTACTTTGATTTCATTGGTTTGTTCAACTATCGAATTATGTATCTATCCGAATACACAGGTGGCTGGAGTTGTTTTTGTGACTATTGCATCAGTAACGTAAAAACACGTGAAAATCGTTACAGCAACAGATTACCAGCAAAAAAAAATTCAGTCTTTTGAGAGAATGCGCATTTTTTAGCTTCTGGTATAAGACTACTGCTGAGTGGGCTTATTTTTCAGCGAAACTGCGGAAGAGCAATACAGGCAGCAGGTGGGTACGGGGCCAGGCTTTATACTCGGCGCAAGTGATCGGCACTTTGATCCTGAAAAGTCAGAAACGCTAAAAGCAATAAAAGCCGGTGAAGCAGATGATTTTGGTCGAAATTTTAACCGGAAAATAGTGGAAGCAGAAGCGCCTCATGTCCCACCTCCGCAGGTTTGTAATTTTTTTTAAAGGCTCTATTTATATTCATTTATGTTTTATGTCGAGGTACTTATGTTTTACGTCGAGTTTATGCCTGTGGGGTCCAAGGATGGTTGTGGATACTGACCCAAAAATTTCAAGTTATCAGTTCCCTTGGTGAGCAAGTTATAAATTTCAAGTTAACAACTTCCTGTCTTGCATTATTCTGAAATTGTAAAATTAGCCTGGATATAAATATGAAGATATAAATTAGAAAATACTGCAACTCGAGTGATTCCAGATCACCGATGTACTTTCCTGCGGGATGAAATAAATTTTCGAATTTTTTAGTTCACTTCATCCTGAAATTATAAAATCAGCTTGAGTTGGAACTTGAGGCTATACATAAGCTTACCCGAACTCTTCGGAAACTGTTATTCGGATATTAGCTTGCGCTGTATGGTAAAGCAACCTTTTAGAATTTCAAATTTCTAAATATCTTTGCTTCCACATCAATCAGAGAATCTTTTTAAGATTCTCGAATTGAACCTGGTCTCACAGACCAGAGCGGAAAGAGGCTGAGCTGTTTCAAGTCTGTGATCCCGCACAGGATCAATAATTATACTTCCAAAATATTAATTTAATAGCTCCGTAGTTCCGGATTTGATGTATGTGGATCCACTAATGTCATGCCTACACATATACAGATACGACCTCGCCAAAAAGCATTTAATAAGCACGAGTGGAAGAACACATGATAGAGCAATTTCTGGTTAAATAAGACTGAAAAATTTGACTGGAATAAAACTGAAGCTTATCTACCTGGTTTCTTGTGGCGTTTCAAGCAGTAATGATGACAAAGGGCTCAAATCATCTTTCCGCAGCACCCAGTGACATTCCAAGAAATTTAGTAAAATTCAAAACTATGTGTAGCTTTTAGGAACCGTACTGGGCGCAAACAGCGCGAAGCAAAAGTGAAAGAGCACGTTCGACGACACCACCGGCCACCTATACAACACCCAACACGCCATATTATGCACCGTATTATTCAACGCTGCAGCAGCCCAAAAAGCACACTGATGTTCCGAGGTATCAATCCATCCAAGAAAATCACGAAAAAAAACTGTCCAAGCTCGTTTTAGTAAGCTCAGGCTAGCTAAGTTACCATGAGATGCAGTTATCATTCCAAGCTAAAATGGTGAAAATCAAAAACAATCACACTGTAAAACGCAGGCTGGAACGCACCAGGCGAGCCGGAGCTATCATGCATTTTTGCACAAAACTTGAATTAGGTTAGCTGCATGAAAGGTTGTTTCTTCACACCTACCTTGGGTGCTTAATGCCGAAAACCATCGTAAATTTTGCATAAAAAGTTTTTTCGTTTAGCGGTGTTTTTTGAAAATAACCCAACTGTTCAATGAATAATTTTCCCGCCAGAAAT